AAATCGGAATTTTAGACAAGTGGGTTTTCAGCTAAACTGATTTGAAACAAATTTACGCAGAGCTATTTGAGATACCAGAGCCTCCTGGTGTGAAAAACTTCCCTGCTGGCTAAACTCACTGCCTCCTTCCTAGTCTTGTTTTTGTTCATTCATTTAATCAGTCATTGACTAACTCACTAGAAGACCTGCTAGGTATCAGGCACTGTGCCAGCACACAACAAAGAAACAAGGAATACAATGTGATACCAACAGCCATGGGAACATCCTCAGTCTTCAGAGAGGGGTGGTCTGGGAGGGCTTCTGGGAGGTGGTGATGCCTGAGTAGATTATTGAAGGATGGTTAAGAGGACTTCAGGCAAAGAGTTGGGAGCTCTCGTTCCAGATGAGGAAGCATCCCCAAAGGGCCATTTGTGAAACTGCAGATCATTTTGGGTGGCTGGAATGTGGAACCGGTGGTGAGGGGTGTGTGGTGGCCAGGGGGTGTGGTGGGGTGTGGAGTGCTGAACAGCCATCAGTCTCTAAAGTTCTGGAATGCTGTCTAAGACGGTTGGACTTACAGATTTTTGGTTTGCGGTTACCAGGAGGTTTTGATATAGCAGTCTATATACATACAAGATTGTTTTAAGTTGCTGGTCTCTTAATTTCAAGTGCATTTCCAACATCCTGCACTTTGATATCATATTTGTGTCTGGATGATTTCCTACCTTTACTGTACTGTATGTTTGCCTTTACTCGTGAGCTTTCCCATTCGTAATTTTCCTTTTTCTAGTTGTGGCCTTTTCTTGTCCTTCTAGAGAAGTTCCTTTAGCATTTGTTACAAAGCTGGTCTGATGGTACTGATTTCTCTTAGCTTTTGCTTGTCTCTAAAGCTTGTGATTTCCCCATCCAGTCTGAATGAGAGCCTTGCTGGGTAGAGTATTCTTGGTTGTTGGTTTTTCCCTTTTATCACTTTAAATATATACTGCCACTCCCTTCTAGCCTGCAGAGTTTCTGCTGAAAAAATCAGCTGATAATCTTAATGGGGATTCCCTTGTATGTTATTTGTTGCTTTTCCCTTGTTGCTTTGAATATTTTCTCTTTGTCTTTAATTTTTGTCAGTTTGATTAATATGTGTCTTGGTGTGTGCCTCTTTGGATTTATCCTGTATGGGACTCTCTGCGCTTCCTGGACTTGAGAATGTTTCCTTTACCAAGTTAGGGAAGTTTTCGGCTATTATCTCTTCAAATATTTTCTCAGGCCCTTTCTCTCTCTCTTTTCCTTCTGAGACCCCTGTAATATGAATGTTGGTACATTTTATGTTGTCCCAGAGGTCTCTTAGACTGTCCTTATTTCTTTCATTCTTCTTTCTTTATTCTATTCCATAGCAGTGGGTCAGGCTTTTAAATGATGGACAGAAGGCAGTCAGGATTTTAAACCTATGAGTAAATACAATCAGATTTACACTTGGGGAAGATGGCTCTGGCACGTTTATCTCCTCTGGGTCCACCCCAGTGACTGCTGTGAGCTGAATAGAGGGAATGCAGCAGAGGATGAGAATGGTGAAGATGGTGATGATAATGAAGACGATAATAGCAGGTACCATTTTAAGCCCCTCCAGAGCCTGTCATTGTGCTAAGTATTTTCTATATATGTTCACATTTGATCCTCATGATAATCGTGTGAGGTGAATATCATTACTCCCACTTTATAGATGAGGACTTGAGGCTCACAGTGATTAAGCAAATTCTCCAGGGTCCATCGTCTGGCAGGTGGCCAGCTGGCGCCCAGCTCAAACTGGACACTTCTAAGGCTGTGCTCTTAACAACTGTACTATCCGGCGAGAGTCCTTGGTCTCAGCTTCCTCCTTTCCTCCCCTCCTCAAAGACCCCCTCAGTTACTTCACAGGCTGCCCTTGTTTTCCATCTGCTTCTTTTCAGCCCTCCACAGGGCATGCCCCAGACACCCTCTGGTTTAGCCCTGATGCTGTCTAAATACCCATTTGTCTAGATGTGAGGGTCCTGGTCCTTGGTTCCAGCTCGGTGGAGGTGACCGAACCCATAGTCACTGTCAGCCATGACTCAAAGCCCAGCACACGGCCTGAGAGTGACAGATTCTTTTAGCTTAGTTATCACTGCTCTAGAAGTGTCCACACCAACCGAGTCTACAGCCTTTCCCCTCCAAGTTCCTCAACCCTGTTAATAAGACTTAACCATCCTGTGGGACTCACTCTAGCCATTACACTTGCCCTCACCACAGCCAGAGAGGAATTCACCGTCTTGGCATTGGAGCTAAGGACCCCAGGGGCTGGCAGCGGTGGTGGAGCCTGGCGAGCAGGAGGGCAGGGGAGTGGCTGTGGCCATTAGCTTCCCTGGCCTCTCCTACCTCTCAAGAGTCTATTCTTGTGCAAAGGATTTTTGTCTTTATGTGTGCCTTTTTTAAAATATCTGAGTAAGGGTTTCTTAACCTGTCTGAGTCCTAGTTATCCACCTAAACCTCACCTAAAACTATATTCAGAATCTTGTGTGTACACATATGCATATTTTTCTAGAGAGTTTTTAGCTTTCATAAGATTCAAAAGGAGGCCTATGACCCAATCAGAAAACATAATAAAATAGCAGCTCAGGGGCTTCCCTGGTGGCGCAGTGGTTGAGAGTCCGCCTACCGATGCAGGGGACGCGGGTTCGTGCCCCGGTCCGGGAAGATCCCACATGCCGCGGAGCGGCTGGGCCCGTGAGCCGTGGCCGCTGAGCCTGCGCGTCCGGAGCCTGTGCTCCGCAACGGGAGAGGCCACAACAGTGAGAGGCCCGCGTACCGCAAAAAAAAAAATAGCAGCTCAGAATTACTGAGCACCTCACGTGCTCTACGCACTTGGCCTTATGTAATCCTTGCCACAATGCTACAAGCTCGGGGCTGTTGTTTTTCTTCTGGGAAGGATAGAGTGAGGCCCCAGGTGAAGTGACCCTCCCCACGGCATGTAGCCCATCAGCGGTGGAGCCGGGCTCTACTAGCATCTGGTGAGCGTGCTGGCCTGGGCACCGCCATACTCAGCCATCTGTTGGACTTGGCCCAGAAGCCCCCGAGGAGTGAGTAGAGGCCCTCTCGTCTCTCTCCAGAGCCACATATTCAAATGGTATCTACACCGTATGATAAGGGGATGCTAATATTCACTGTCTGCCCTCAAACTCTCATCACATGGCTTTCTAGGAAAAATGTGAGCACAGATTGCAGTGTATTGTTTTCTGCCAGAAATATGACTTGGCTGACATTAGCCATATATTTTCAAGGATAATTCTCTTTCAAAAAATAGTAACATCACTGCTTTCAAAGATTAATTTTTGTTTTAAACAGAAAACTTTCTAATAACCTCATTTCTTTAACAACGACAAGCACAGGAAAATTATAAAATGCTTCCTTCACTCCTCCCCTCCCTTTGCTTCTCCACATTGGAGCGTAGGCTCTGGTTTGGGCCAGTGAGTTGGTTAATTCATTGCTTTGGTTCCACCTGGTATAGCTTTGGGGGTGGGAGGGGTAGAGAGTGAGGTGTGAGCGCCAACTTGCTTCCCCGCAAGAGGCCTGGCCAGGCGGTGTGGCCCCTTGAAGCCAGGCCTGCTGCCGGCCTGCGACCCCCCCACGCTCAGGGGCTGGGCTCTGGCATCTGACTCATACTTCCTTCCCACGTCCCATAGTCACCTCCTTATCTACTGGGTGTACAACCTCTGCCCGGGCAAAACCTCACCAGCCCGACAGAGCGCATCACTGCTCCAGCCCAGCCCTGGGGAACGAGCTCTCCCAGTGCTGCAGAGGGAAATCTGCCCCAGAAGAACGGCCCAGTCTCAGGGAAGCAGAAAGGGACATGACGACGACAGGCCAGAGAGGCCCAAAGGTCCATGTGGACTAGGGAAGTAAGCAGCCTTCCCAGAGCCCTTGATGATAGAGGAGTGACCAGACAGACACTTGGGGACGCTGAAGCCAGCCTGCCTGGGTTGGAATCCTGACTCAGCTGCTTCTGCTTCCTGTGTGTCCTTGGACAAGTTGCTTAACCTTTCTGTACTTTATTTTCCTTATCTGCAAAATAGGAATAATATATGTACCTACTTCATAGGATTGTTATGAAGATTAAATGGATATTAAATGAGATCATCCTCAGTGCCTGGCCCACCATAAGAACTAATAAATATTAGCACATGTCATTATTATCATCATTGTTATGGATCAAATTGTGTCCCTCCCCAAAAATGTTAAAGTCTGAACCCCTAGTACCTGTAAATGTGGCCTTATTTGGAAATAGGTTTTGCAGATGATCAAATTAAGATGAGATCATTAGGGTGAGCTCTAATCCTATATGACTGTGTTCTTATCAAAGGGGAAATGTGGACACAGAGACAGACACACGTAGAGGGAAGACAATGTGAAGACATAAGGGAGCTTAAGAGGGAAGATTCTCCCTCACAACCCTTAGAAGCAACCAACCCTGGCAACACCTTGCTCTTGGACTTCTGGCCTCCAGAATTTTGTGAGACAGTAACTTTCTGTTATTGAAGTTTGGGGTACTAAGAAATTAATACAGCCATCATCATTATCACCCACAGCAACAGCCAGCTCTTGAGTGTGCCTTCTCTCTTTCCC